GCCCGAACTCGCAACGCTGAGATTCACGCCGCTGTCTCTGTCGCAGGAGTAGCTGCGGTTGTGGCCGCAAACGCGGCAACTAACGCTATTTCAGCTTCAGAAAATGCGGTTGAATCAACAACAGCTGCGGTTGCGGTCGCGTCTGCAGCCGCTCTAATCGCTTCGCATTGCATCGAGATAGCGGGAGAGATAGGGGCTGGCTATAACCAGATCGCAACCGCGGTCAGCTCTGCGACCAACGCTAGGACTAATGGAGACGTTATGGCACTAACGGCTAGTGCTGCAACAGGTAGTTATTATTGTTACATTGCATTTTTTACCGCTAAACTTTTCACACTATCAAAATGGTTTGTCTGATATTGAGGTTTGTTGAGTGATTTTAGCGTTGCGAGGAGCTGCGATTCTAAGGTCAAGAATGGAACGGAAAAATGAGAACAAAGCAATGCTATATGCAACAAAAGAGAACGTAGAAAGAGAAGAGAGAAATGTATTTGGAGCGATGACTTTCGTCTCTAGAGGAGAAGAGCTTCTCAAACGCACCCGCAAAGGTAACTTGTGATCCAAGCAAAACAGTTTTGGTCATTTGATGAAACTTTCAAAGTTAAGTTTTAGAGTATGTTGGTGACAGGGGATCTTCATTGGAAACAAGTATCTTTTAACATTAATTCAAACTGGCAAGTAAGTTCTTTCCTTTTCCGGAACATTTTCGATCAAGATTGTTGTAAAGACATTTTGATGTTCTTGATATAGATTCTTGATTTTGAATTAGGTGGTTCTTAAAATGAAGAGCAAGCATGTAGGTGGAACATTCACAAAGACTAAAAAATGTAAAGCTAACATGAAACCGGTTTCTAGCGAGTTTGCGAATAACTAATTTGATCGTTTTGCCTTATACAAAATAACCAAGTTTTCGGGCGGTTTTTCTATATAGGCGTTGTCAATGGAGTGTGCCGAGATATACCCGAATGGGCGGATAGAGGACGAGTAGGAAAAATGGTTGAGCGGAGAGCCTACTTTGGGGTAAAAACCGTGGAAAGGGTGATTGAATTTGAATGTGTAAACGAAAGAGAGAAGCAAATGTGGATAGAAGGGATTCAACAGCTGCTTAACTCAATTGAAACCGGTTCTAGTGTTCTCTGGAAACATTAGGGTTTGGTTTCAATTAAGAGTAATTCATGTTTTAACATCATATGATTGAAGATTGAACTTGTCGGTTTCGAGCGTGTTTGAGGAAAGTATTCTTGTGTCCGGTGTGATTTTGAAATCG